CATCTCTGTCTGTCTGGTAACCAAACATGCCCATTTTACAAATGAGGAAACCGAGGCCAAGAGAGCAGTGCTGTCTCACCTTTTCTTTATATGTTCACAAGTTGAACATGGGTGGAAATGCTCCCGGCAGCCCTCAAACAGCAGAGCTCCAGGGCGGGGGGTGTGGGAGGCTGGTGGGAGGTGGAGGGGGAGCAGTGCCATGTGCAGCAGGCCCGCCAGGAAGGAAGGTGGCTTAACACCCACCCTACAGAACAGGAGACCCTCCCACCCGTGCAAACCAGAGACCGGAGGCCTCCTAAAAGGGCCTTCGTGGGGCAAAGCGAATTACAGCAGGATGGCAGGAAGGCAGGGTGACCGCTTAAGAAGGTGTCCTCCTGGGGCCCCTGGGGTCATGGCTCTATGCCCACCTGGGGCTTACGGGCTCACAATCAATGTCCATTCTCAATTCTGGCCAAGTAGAGGCTCAGAAAGAGGCGCCGTTGGGGCTCTCTTTGGACTACCTCGCATAGGTCTGTGAAACAGCCTCCACGCTTGGCACCAAGCCTGACGCTGCCTGGGGACCTGCAGGCAGAGTTCATGCAAAAGGACACGTGCACCCGGCTCCCCTGCAGGCTTGGGGTCTCCTCTCTCTTACGGGTTTCTTAAACTACTTAGCATTTGGGCTTCTGAGCCCCACCACGGGGCATCTCAGGTCTCCGTCCCTCTCAGCTGCACCAAGTGCTAATTTCACTGGTGCCTGGTAGCTCCTTCAAAGCAGCTAGTGCTCCAATGAATGAAACATCAAAGCTCCGAGAGCCCAGTTCTCCTGGCAACTCGCGGGATGCAACGACCCTCCACCACGTGGCAAATCCCGTGGAAGGGAGCCGCTTCTCCCCACTCCCCGTTCTGTGCTCTGGCTTTGGGTGCGGCTGACCTACACTCGGGCCAAGATGTGGGGAGCTCTGGAACTCATTAACGGGCACCGATAACGAGACCATCAGGAAAACCCAAATGCTGCCTGTCTAGGTAGACAAGAAACCAAATGTGCACCTGACAAGTGGAGTGATCACAGAGCTTAAACCCAACAGGCGACATCAGCTGGGACGTGTGGAAGCATTAATAATTGATTCCATGGGCTATTCTGAGGTTTTCATTTTAATAACTTGGCAAGAGAATTTTTATTAGTTGTGTAAATAAGAAATTAAGGCATTTTTCAATTTAACCACCACCCCAAGTTGTCAAAACCCCTGCCCGCCCTGTTCTGGCCTTGCTTCAGACACAGGAGGGCAGAGTGGTTCACAGCTGTTCCCAGGAGAAGGGGG